ATTATTAACACTGCTAAGAAGATGGAGCCAGCTACTGAATTGAAATGAATATTGTTTGACATTCGGAAGCATTTTTTTAAAAAATGCCAGCAAAGTCTATCGGGAAATTGTAGTGCCACCCTCATCATGTGCCATTAAATGAGGGGATTTGAATTGGATTTAAGGATCAATTGAATTTCTGTGCTCCATTTGTGCTTTCCCCATCACTAATTAATGAGTTGAGTTTATTTGGAATGCTGCTGTTAATGCAATTAGTCCATGAATCCAAAGTCAACTCGGTGCCATTATTATTATATTAATTAAAGTTGCAAAGACTTTTGTAAAGCTTAACATGATTACTATATACATATAAATATATTTAATTAACGAGATACTTAATTAAGTAGATCGTTAATTATTTCATGGATGTGCAGATTACTTTAGTGTCTGCTTTATGCCATNCTCAATAGGATACAATGTTCGATTAACCAACGAGTTAAATACAGAAATACAAAAGGGGAAAGATATCAAACATTGATATTTTCCTCTTCGACCAACATGGCCTTAGACCACAAAAATTATACAGCAGATTGATCAACAATAAAAGAAATCGACCTAAGACAACCAACCAGGAAATATATATCCTCAACAATGGCATTATAGCTCGATGGAAATGCAGATTTTGAAGACAGAGCTCGCCCCACACCTTTACATCTATTTTACAAAGCAGGTCAGAACATTTATTGAGATGAGCATAGTGCAAGCCTTGTCTGATTGCAAGCAGAGTAGCCATGGTAGTATCCTGTGAGCTTTTTTGATGAGTTCACCAACAATACCGCACTTCTTCATCTTTGAGGATAATAAAGCCCATCTTCAGCTTATTCAATGAAAAGGTAATTAGCACTGACAACAAGAACTGGTTGTCCTACTCCTTTACCTTCATCAACAGCCTCAGAATTTTCAGTCAGTCATGCATGATGAATACTCTTACCAATATCTGTAAATTCCAGCCATGATGCTTTTGCAAGAGAAACAATTTGGATTTCAGAAAGAAGAGATTTTAGTGTATGTCCACCACAATAAGTAGGTGGATAAAGAAATTCTTTCTTCCGTGAGAGGCCCTCTTCATTAAGCATAAAGATTCCCACCAAACCTGAATACTCATAGAATTGTCAGCCAAGTAATCCCATTGTGACCCAGCAATCTTCCACATTATGCCATACACAAGCGTAAAATGAATGAAGAAAACAAGTAAGGATGAGGTCACGAAGAAATAATCCATCTACTAATTTGTTAGCGAAGAAGCCTGGAAGATGGGCCAAGCAGCAACCACTTTGCTTAGGGAAATTTGAGTCTTTATCATATGGGCTTGGGCCAAACAAGTGAAATTACCTAAATAGGTTGTAGCAATATGAATGAAGAGTTAGATCCAAATTAAGGGTGGCAATTGGCAAACTTGTTTCGTGTAATTAGGAGCGTATACCAGCCGAGCCGAGTCGAGCCGAACTATAGTGTCATTAACAAATGAGTCACTGATCGACTCCAACACGGCTCATTTATTTGAAGTAAAGAATTGACCTCGAGCCGAGATCGATCCACAATGATGCTACGAAAGGATGGTGGCATTGATGTTGATGTTAGGCATAGAATTGCAGCCGGTTGGTTGAAATAGCGTCAAGCTTCGGGCGTTCACTGTAATTAGATTGTGCCACAAAGGCTAAAAGGTAAGTTCTATAGTACGGTGATTCGCCCGGCGATGCTATACGGTGCTGAATGTTGGCCTACAAAAAGCCAACATGTCCAACAACTAAGTGTAGCAGAGATGCGTATGTTGCGTTGGTTCTGCGGGCACACAAGGAGGGATAGAATCCGGAATGAGGATATTCGAGATAGGGTCGGGATGGCTCCAATTGAGGAGAAATTGGTTCAACATCGGCTGAGGTGGTTCGGACATGTCCTACGGAGGCCTCCTGATGCACCGGTGCATAGGGAAGTTCTATAACGGGTCGATGATGTAAAGAGAGGTAGAGGTCGGCCTAAACTCACTTGGGAAAAGTCAGTTAAGAGAGACCATAAAGATTGTAATATCTCCAAGGATTTAGCGGTGGATATGAGCGCTTGGAGGCTAGCAATCAACGTGCCAGAACCGTGACTTTTGCTCCTTTCTTTTTTGCTCCAATATCTTCCTTTTGTTTTGAGCCCTTTTTGTGTTTCTCTTACCATTTTTTTGGGTTTCATCTCTAGCCTACCCCAACTTGCTTGGGACTAAAAGGCTATATTGAAGTTGTTGTAATGTATTTTAATATCATTTCCTATTATAACCAATGAATTGTAAATATATTTTAAAAGTTGATAATTTTTGTATTTCTTATCGGTTTTACATATATAATATATCAAATTAATCATCTTTTGATGAACTTCAATTTGACATCCATATTGTTTATATAAAATAAATAAATTATATTTATTTTTATAATAATAATAAAATTATTTATGAAAATTAATTAGAAAATAAAATTTATCAATTAATATATTTATATTTAATGTAGTTATATGTTATAAGGTAGAAAATTTATTATAATATAACACATATAAGTCGCATAAGTAACATGTGTCATACTAAAATATATAATATATACTCCCTCCTATTTTTATTATTTGTCACTTTGGCTTAATTGATCATTGATAAAATAAATGTCGTTTTAGATATTTTCTTCATATTTTTTCATTTTTAACCCTTCATTTAATACACAGTGTCTCTTCATATTTCATCTCCATCGTTTCTCATAACATCTATTAAATAGGGTTAATATTGTTAAGAAAAAAAATCCATACATAATGTCTCTTCATATCCCATCTCCATCGTTTCCCATCACATCTATTAAATAGGGTTAATATTGTCAAGAAAAAAAAAAATCCTAGTTGGTTGCATTTGAATTGATATTATGAAGTCCGTTTATATTTTACTATATATATATAATACAAAACAGTAATATATATCTTTATAAATAAAATTTAAATTTATTTATCAAACTAAATTAAATTATATCAAATAAAACTATAAATTATATCATAAAGTAATAGAAATTGGTATGTATTCTTTTAAAAATGATATTTATTTCAAATCTAATTAGTATGTTGTCAATGTAATAAAAATAAATAATTATTTATATAAATTCTAAAATTACATATAAAGTTAAAAAATTGTGAAGCACGACTGATACGACACTGATGTATTAGACATCTAATTAAGTAAAAAAAATAATCTATTTTGCTTAATATTAAATAAACATATTCTACACTAATGCATATACATATCACCATATTATTTCTATTTATTTAAGATATATATTGTACTTATGTAATAGTGAATAATATCGATATTTTTATATGATATAAGTAAAAAAATTCAACACGGGTTGACATTTTCATTTAATGTACGGGTGTTTAATTATTATGATTAAAAAAATATAATTTGACAATTTAATTAAAACCCAAAGTAATGTTTTATATTTTTAGTTTTTAAAAAATAAAAAAATTAATATTTTTTACAAAAGCTTTCTAATTCAACACTCGTGTAATTCACGGGTATTGTACTAGTTATATATTATATATGAATATGATTGTAAAAGGCTCAATTCATAAAGTACAACTACTTAAATGGTAGGTACACACAATTCAAAATGGAGGTGTAAATTTAGCTGGAAAATTAGAAAATTAGTATATAGTTGATAAGTTAGTTTATAATTCATCAATTAATTTTGAGCTTATAAATTATAGTTTATGATAGAAAGATTATAACAAAAAAAATTGATAAAATTAGCTATAAATCATTTGTCATAAAATTTTCAAAACTTATGAGATAAATTAAAAAATTTTAAAAATTCATTCTACCAAATTAAATTTTTTTGAATTCAAAGAAACTAGTGTAACAATAAATTTCGTGTATTGAATTTATAAACACGAAAAATATTATTCAAATAAATTTCTTGAATCAAAATAAATATAACGGGTTACAATCTCTATTATTTCTCTGATTCTTCTCACGAACAATTTTAAGTCTTGGAGCGAAATTTTCGGCTTGATCTTCTCCTTGACTTGATTTGACTTGAATTAACGTTAATCCGAGGGCCAACGCCTTGATTTCGGATCAAACGTCGAAATATCCCAAGAACGCGAAGAACACGAATCCTTGGTCTTCGTCGCGAAGTAGATCTTGAATCTTCTTTACGCCGATTTTGAATTTACTAACGTTATTCGGAGGCTTTACAGCTTGTTTCCGGAGTGAACGCCAGTCTTGAGGTTGAATGCGCTTGAATCTTGTTTCAAATCTTCAAAAACGCCTTTGAATCTTCAAGAACACTTGAATCTCGTCGAGAAAATTCTTTAAAACTCTTGAACTTTGAATATGAATTATGATGTGTGTTTTTGGCTTTAGGGAGAGTTTCTTTATAGGTGTAGGGGAGAGAACCCTATCAAATTTAAGAATCGTAGGACGCGATTTGATTGGTCCATGATGATTTACATAAGATCTTTTAGATCTACTTAGATATCTCAAGATCTTCTGGAAGACATACGATTTATTACCAAGAAATAAGATTTGACACTTGTATTATTTGATTGGTGAAGAATTAAAATATTAAAATATTAATTACTTAACTATTTAAATTTAAGAATTAAATATATGAAAATTCCTATAATATAAATAAAAAATATGACTTGATTTTTAATAAATTAATTTTTACGTAGCGCCATTTGATTGGCCACAAATTTTATGTATCTACAACTAGTTAAATAAATAGGCTATAAACTAGATAATTTGTGAAATACACCCTAATTGCTTTGCCCTTATGTTAACTTGGGTGAAGTGGACTGGACTTGGTTCTTATAAGAGAATACTAGCCATTTTCTCTTTCTCTAAAGCCACCCAGTATTTTCTATGGGCTGGACCTTTTGGTTCTAAAAATCCAATAGCCTCATGAAACGGCCCGACCTATCAGGCCCATTTTAGTTGACGGGATAGCAAGTTAACGGATCGGGTATCCGGGCCGAACTCTCTAGAAAGCCTAGAACCCTGAACAGAGAACCAACTCGCTATCAGTTTGCGGCCTAAGCACAAGGCACAGCACCCACTGCGTAGAAAACGCCCCAACCTCTCTCTATCTCTTCCTTTCCTTATCCATGGCGGCTTCTTTCATTTCCTTATCTGGACCCTTCACTTCCAGCAGACCCAACTTCCCCCCTCTCGCTAACAAGGGCTCAACAGGTTTAATTTTTCCTAAACTTCCACCCCATTTCCTCGAGATTGTAATCTACCTCTCTTATCTTTTGGTTTGTTTACCGACCCTTTTTCTTGTTACTGTAAATTTGTGTTATTGAACAGGTTTAAAGTGGAGATCTTTGCGGGTCTATGCAATTTCAAAGAAATATGAACCGTCTAAGGTTTTTCCCTCACTTTTTTTCTATACATTTGTTATTTCTGTTCTCGTTTTGTGTTACACTGAAGCGAGAGACTTCGAAAGTCGAAACGGAGTTGTAAAGTAGAGGGTTTGATTCGTCTGTGTAGGTTATGCCACAAGCTGATAGAGTCTTGATTCGTCTAGAGGCCCTACCGGAGGTACTTCTGTTAATTTGTTATCTCCGCTGCTTTCACTGCATGCTAAGATGTTTTTATGTTTATGTTGGAAATTGTTATTATTCCTTCTGTGCGTGCATTTATGAAGGTCTCCTCTGATGGTGGTGTATTGCTGCTAGTTTTGTTGTGGGTTTTGTCATTTTGTTTTTTCTTCTTTCCATTGTAGAATGTTCATGGTTCCAGCTTGTATTCTGTGCAACTGTAATCAAATTTGAAGAGATTTCTGGTTTCCTCTTTTTACTTGTCTATCCTTTAGACCTTACCATTATATTATCGTCAACTGTATTAGGGCTCATTCAGTAATGGCTTATGAGGTACTATGTTGTCTCATGTGAAGCTGGTTGCAGAAGTCTGTGGATGTAGCTGCATGTTTTTAATTATTTACTGCAGTCTTTTCGTTAGTAGTATGATTTTAGTTCTCGTTAGACTGCCATTTAGACAACAGAACACTTTATGTTTTTCTTGGGGGTGCAGAAATCAGCTGGAGGTGTTTTGCTGCCAAAATCAGCGGTTAAATTTGAGCGCTACCTTATGGGAGAGGTGCGTGAAGTATCAATAATGTGCAGTCATTCTAATCATGAACTATAATTTTCTTGCTTCTCTTTTTGAGCTTCAAGAACATGTATGGATATGGTTTTGTGTTCTGTTTTTCTTATTTTTTGTATAAAAATCTGCATGCTGCAGGTCCTTTCTATTGGTGCTGAGGTTGAGAAAGTGGAGACTGGAAAGAAGGTGAAATATAAAAAGTTTCAATTATCACAGACTTCATGTTATTTACCCATTTCGCCATCTGTGCCTGATTCCATTTGATATTCCTTGCACACAGGTTCTTTTCTCAGACATAAATGCATATGAGGTATGTAATTTGGATTGTAGTATTTTTGTGTCGTGTTATGGAGTAAAAAGAGATCTACATAGATTATAGGACATCTTCTAAATCATATATGGTGCTCAATTTTTGGTTTTGCTTACATGTTTTTTTACCCATTTTGATGGGGTTGGAACGAGTGTGACATGTCATAGCATAATCTATGAAGTTTAGCTCCCGCACGACTTTCACTTGCTTGTAAGTCAGCACCAACCCTTACAATTTTGTGTTGGTTTTGTCTAAAGGTTGACTTGGGAACAGAAGATAGGCACTGTTTCTGCAAAGCAGACGATTTGCTGGCTGTGGTCGAGTGATAGAAAAAGTCCAACTGAGTCTGTGTTTTCATTGCTTTAAATATCATTTTGTAACGGTTTAGTGAACCTCTCGAGGAAACAATGTCCAGCCTGTTTATCAAATATTTTGCAACTTCAAAATAATCGGTTTGGACTTGTGGTGTGTTATTACTCTTTGTTGTAGTATCATGTGGTTTTTCTTTCCAACTCTTCCGCCAATTGAACTGCGAATTAGTTGTTGATCTGCTGATCGAGATACTTGGTGATGTTGCTGGAAAAATGAAATATTCTTGAGAAGCTTTAGATTTCTGATGTTGCTAGAAAAAACTGTGATTATGCTTTATTAGGTACATTTTATGATTTATATATATATATATATATTTTTCTTTCGTTCTAAATGCCACTTATCATACGCCACAAATGATATAGTCCATCAAAAACAGTTGTGTTTTAGATTTAATTTTTCAGGTCATAGAATAAAAATTTCTGACAGTTTCACACCTCTCATTACCCAATTGCCAAGCAATTCCACTGGGAACTCTCAATACTGGAGTCTCATTTCGTTTAGGCCAAAGCAGCACACTAGTTATTAACTTACTATGGCTATATTTGGTAAAACTAGCTGATAAACTAGTTGATAATTGATAAGCTAGCTTATAGTTTATATGTAATTTTTGAGCTTATAGCTTATAGCTTATAGCTTATGATTTATAGCTGAAAAACTAGTTTATATAATAAAAGTATTTGAAAAAATTAGCTGATAAGCTAGCTGAAATAAAAATTTCAACGAGCTTATTTGAAAAGCTATCTAAAGTAGCTTATGAGATAAGCTCGAGCTTTTTAAAAAAGTTCGTCATACCAAACGAGGCTTATTTGAATACGGGAAGCTTATAAGCTAACCAAATAAGCTATAAGCTAACTTATTTGACTTACCAAACACAGCTTATATAAATAGAGATTACGTTTTTCTTGAAAATTCGAGTGGCTGAAGTAGGGTTTCGAAGTAGCAGAAAGAAAACAATGAGTGAATATATTAATAAGCAAAAATAAATAAATAAATAAATTTCGAAATTGATTTATGAATATATTAATAAGCATTTCAAAATAAGCAGAAATGCCAGAACATTCGAGTTTTTTAACGATTGAATCTACTAATAAGCATTTCAAAATGAGTAGAAATGTCAAAGCATTCGAGTTTTATGAAGATTAGGTCAAAATACATCGGAATAGGACTTTCACAAATGGCGGGCCGGCCCATTTAGAATCTCTAAATCCTACCCGGCCCGGTAAGTTCCTTAACAGCTGAGCCTTTCGGTGACTAATTCGGGTCGCATTAAACCCCTTTCATTTACCGAGAAAAAAAGCTATTGGAGCTGCGAAAAAAGGTGAAATGGATCGACAGTTGCTGGAGAGAAGACCCTCAATCTTCGTTGTTGGATCGCCCAACGTTGGCAAACGAACCCTACTTTCACGTACTTACTCTCTCTCTCTCTCTCGCATCTCGATCATTTATTTATGAAATTTTAATCGGCATATGCATGTTGGAGCTATCGCAAATGATGCTCCTAGACTAGAGAGGAATTAGAATTATGCTGTACAGATTTTCTGCAATATCTTTTGGATACTCCCGGAGGTGAATCATGATGGCAAAATGTGTGGGCAATCTGTTGAACTTTGACTTCAATTTAGTTTTTACTATGTAGAGCTCATTGATGTAGGAAAACTAGTGACCTTGGAGATTTGAAAATGACAGCAGTATGAATCTCGGATTGATGTGAAGCTGTGAAAGAGCATTTTCAACGGAGTACTTGGCAACTATAAAGTTTGATTGTAGGTATTTCTTCATGAAATTATGTAGCCACCAGAGGTTTTAGTTTGGTGGAATTTTGGTTCACTGATTTGTCGGAGACTGGTCCAATAGTTAGTTTCATGTCTTATCCGATGAGTGTATTGCTCCTTTGAGAAATTGTTTGGTGAAGAATACCCTTTCTTTAACATATATAGTACCTGGCATTCTTGCTGCTTCAGCTGCCCTCTCATGTCCCTGGTTCAATGGCCAATGGGGGTGCCAATTCTTATGCACTTTTTTTTGGAAGTTTGAATATTATTATGGTAGTATGAGTTACTTCCTTGGTTTGAACTGTAATGGTCAACTGCCTTATGCTTATGTTGGGTGCAGGGTTACTTAGTATAGATTTTGAAGATGGTCCCGATCTGTCGCCTGAGTTATCTCTCCATGCGTAAGTATTAACTTCTTAGAGGCAAACACTGATTGCCTGATAATATTCTGCTTTTCTATCCTTTTATGGATCATAACAATTTGAGTAACAATCTTTATTTGGGTGCTTCATAAGATGGACAATCAACACCAAGTATTATTCAGCAGATGTTTCGGTGTGGATGGCTCATCTTAGTGACACGTTATCTGTTGCGAGCTCTCCAATTGTCGATCGAGCAGTTGCCTTGGTGATGGTTTTTGACCTTACCGACGTAAGCCTTTCAGTTTATTCCCTTCATACTGAAAATCTATCTTTCATATGTGCCTAGTCTTATCCCCTTTGATATTGTCCTTTGCAGCTCTCATCTCTTGCTGCTCTTCAAGAGTGGGTGGCCCGCACGGACATCCAGAGGTTTGATATACTGCTATGCATCGGTAACAAGGTGGATCTTGTTCCCGATCATCCAGCTCATATGGAGTACAAGAGGCGCTTTATGAGGCAAGAAGAATCTCTTCTGGGGTTTACTGAGTATGGGATATCCGAAACTGAAGGAAGTAGTCTGTTGCGAGAAGAAGAGACAAATTCGGAACTTAAGAGGTCTTGCTTAGAATGGTGTCTTGACCATAATATCGAATATGTTGAGGCTTGTGCATCCAATGCTGATTTTGACAAGTGTAGGTGCCTATAATGTTTTTTGCTTCATATGATGAACCTAACATATTTTGTAAGCGTACTTCATTACTACTAATATTAAAAAGTAGCATAGAGTGCTTCCAAGGAAAAAAAGTTAAAATTTTAATCACACTCTGATCATGTCCGCCTTAAAATGCATATTGCTTGACTTCTACTGTAAGTATTTTTTTTTTTAATTTTCTGTGCTATTTTTATTTTTCTTTTCTTTTTTTTTTAATATGAAGCTGAATCATTTCATTACAGGCCTCTCTGTAGAAGGAGATTCACAGGGTGTTGAGAGACTTTATGGGGCGTTGTCTGCTCATATGTGGCCTGGAATGTTGTTAAAATCTGGTGATAGAATAAATGAACCTTCACTACCCTACCAAGAAGGTTGACATGCTAATTTTATATGTTGAAGTTGTTTTTATATGTCATGTTACTCGACTCTACACTCGTATCAAACTTGTGAATGCTTGTTCACTTTTAAGCAGATTTGTCAGAAGGAGAATCTGATGATTATGAACCTGAGTATGAGAAATTATCCTCTGGTTCAGCAGAACCATGGGACGATGTGAGATGGATTTCTGCAGATGGTTTTGATTCCGCCTCAGGAACTAATATAAACTTAGAAAGAGAGAGTGAAGTTAAATCAGTTGGAGAAGAAAACCACTCAACCACATCCCAATCCAAGCTGGCAGAAGAGATTGACCAAGAAAAAGCAAGTCTGGTCCAGGAAGCTGAAATAACGTCAGGGGTAGATGAGGATGATAAAGCTTATGATTTTGAGGATTTGGAGCAGCTGATGGCTGAGATTGGTAACATGCGCAATGGCCTGAGATTGATGCCCGATTTCCAGAGGAGGGAGATGGCTGCAAAGCTGGCAATGAAGATGGCTGCAATGTTTGGGGATAGCAGTGGAGGTGAAGAGGAGGATTTCCTTGACGAGAGTGAGAAAGTATAACACCGTCTTTGCAATTATTTAGTAACAGCATTTAAGAACAGGAGTTGTTTTCTCCAATGTTTGTAACGATTTTATGAATATCACGTAGTCGAGGGATGAATTTTGGAAGAATGTATGTGAGTGTGATGATGTAGTGTTGCGTATTTCAAAGTGTTTGCTTGTTCGTATCTTTTAGTTTTCAAAGCTATTTTTTGTCTGGAACAACGCCATTTTTGGTAATGGATGTTTCCATTTCCTACTTTTCTTGGTTATTAGTGATAAGGTAGTATGGGAAAAAAAAGATTACGTATTCCATGGATCTAAATCACCTCCTATCAACCAGTAGTTATGTATTTACTATTATTTGATGGAGCCCTTAGAGTTGAAGTTTATACTTGGAAGAGACCCATGCATAAGGTATGTGATTATGTAGTGGTGGAATTAACTTCTTCGTGGCTTAACATATTGCAATGTCTTTGCTTTTGATGATGCGTATAAGCAAGAAATTAGGGGGACCCAATCACCTTCCATCACTGTTAACAAGTGATGCAAGCTCAATGATGGGCTTTAGAGACTTTTATTTTATGGTCACTTTAATCAACAGAAACAACTACTTATCCTCTAATCCACTCAATCAAGTGAATGCCTGCCTTGCTTTGTATTTATGGAAAACCTGCTAATTTGTATATAATAACTCCCATGTGCCAAGTACATATATGATTTAATCATCATAAATGATTTCCTATAAATCTTTATCATGTCTAGTGTCTAGATAATAAGGCTAAAGAACAAAGAGATGTAGAGTTGTATGGTCAAGCAGATTGCTCAAAATCAAAATTGTAATATAATAATACTTTAGGGCCAACAAATTTGATGTCTTAGAAAGTTGTGATCTCAATACAGGATCCCACCGGAAAATTCAATCTCAAGTCCATTTTGCATGCAGTAGCTCAAACAATAATTCTTATTCAACCATTTAACTCATTCTCAAACTCAAAACTAATTATTATTAAACCATTGAGCTGTTGCAAATGTCTGTTTTGAATGATGAGATTTTTCAGGCGGCCTCATATCGACAATAATCTTGATTTGGGTGTCATCTAAAATAGTAGACCCATACCATCTGACCCGACCCGTTATTATTAGGCTGGTTTTATAATCATCACGCCCATAGCTTGGCTGTGAATTCCAAATGTTAATATAGCTATAGCTAATGAGTCGGCATCAGCAGCAAAACAATGTTTAACGACAAAGCATGCATAGCATAGCACAGGACAGCTACTTTTAACCGAACCAATTTTTGCTCCTCTTGAATATTAGTCCAAGTGCAACATTAAAAAATGTACATGTCTATATATAAAGAAATAAATAAAAAAAAAAAATAAAAAAAAAAAAAAAAAATTGCTATTTTAGTAATTTCTCTGGAAAAAAACTGCACAGTGCACACACACACAACCCCATCATCACCACTAACCCATTTCCTATATAAAAAACCACTTTCCCCTTCACATCTAAAACCAAAAACACCAAATGTTAACCTCCTGAAGAAAACCAACTTATCATCATCAGTCAAAAAACAAGATAAAAAGAAAAAAGATGAAGCCTATTTCCATTTTCTTCCTCTCAGTCCTGATCATCATCATCATCCAAGCTGCTTCCAGTTCCAACCAAACCTTAATCAACTCGACCTGCAAAACCGCAGCTAACGACAACCCGAACATCAACTTCAGCTTCTGCACGACATCTCTTCAGGCGGCCCCAGCCAGCCGGTGCGCCACCCTCAAAGGCCTCGGTACCATTTCCATCCGCTTAATCCGCTACAACATAACCGACACGCGCTGCCACATCAGACAGCTTTTGAAGAACAGCAAGAAGCTGGACCCTTATGTCAGGCAGTGTCTTGACGATTGCTTCCAACTCTATTCGGATGCTATACCTTCGGTCAAAGAAGCCATGAGATTGTACAACCAAAACAAATTTGACGATGCCACCACACAGATAAGTGCGATCATGACCGACTCGACTACTTGTGAGGATGGATTTGGGGAGAGAAAAGGGGTGGTTTCCCCTCTCACGAGCAGAAATGGCTATTCTTTTGAGCTCTCGGCTATAGCGCTTTCTGTTATGCGCATTGTGCAGACGGGTTCTGGCTAATTGTGTTTTAGTGTTTATTTGTGTTCTTCCAAATCTTCAAGTTATGCTTATTTATTATCTTTGTCGTTAGGGTTTGATTACGGAAACTAGCCCTGAGCTTAACTACAAAAGATGATTAAAAAGAAATAAGAAAAAAAAAAGAAAAGGCCTCAGTTGTCTTTTCAGAATTCAAGAGGGTTTTGTAATTTGAAAAGATAGTTGAGTTGGTCGTAGTTAGGCTTACCCTTGGGGTACTTATTGTAGTTCACCCTTGCTGTTATGCAGTATATATTTGTATGTGGCTCATAAACTATTTATATATGTACCTATTGGAATGGAAAACAGGGTTGAAATCCTACTTCACAAGCAATTCCATGGTACTGAGTGACTTCTACTTAATCTATTGTCTTCGACTTTTGCACACATGGAACGACTATTGTCTGCTGTGCTGTGAGTATTGTACAAGATTATTTTAGATGCTGTGCTATTGTAAACATCAAATCAACTCCATCAGAACCTAGCTTGATATATAAAGACTAATTATAACTAGTCGATTTTACCATGTAACAGAAATAGGTCCGCTCAAAAAAGAAATGCCTGCTGTATGAGATTCTTTACTAGAAACTTCAGAGTGAAAAAAAAATCACAAGTTTAGGAGATTGGCTTCTAGCCAACCAATAAAACGAGAGCCCAGATANAGAAGGAATGAAGTCTGTAATGAAAGTAAACCCTGTGAATGACAAATAATCCATCTGATAATATAAGAACATCATGCACTCAGCAAATACTTTGCAAGTACAAACAGTACAAATTATTGAACTCCAGTTTAGGGATACCTATTTTATCAAATGAGACATACTTATTTCCCATTCTGGAGCCAAACCTAAAATCCCAAGTTCATGCAAAACAACCATCTAATTGGAATAAAAGAGATAAAAACCCACCCGAAATAGACAAAAGCCATGCATAACTTCTTAGCTAGACATCGGGTGGTTGTAGATATATTCTACCGCGAGCGGACACGAGTCGATTTTGTCAGCCTCCTTATCAGGAATTTCCAGCTTAAACTCTTCCTCAAGAGCCATCACAATCTCTACTGTGTCTAAGCTATCTAGCCCCAGATCCTTCTGGAAATGAACATCCGGCGTCACCTGTGCACATTACAATATTAAAGAAAGATCACGAGATTCGGGCTTCAATCCCCATTTTTAGGAATTGGATACAAACAAGCGTTGAAAAGGATAACATCATAAACTAACTGAAAGATGTTTAATGTTCATAAGAATGAGACAGAGAAGGGTTTTACAAATATTTACGGTAATGCGTGGTATCAGCCTTGTAGAATTCATTGTTCTGATGAACCTAGTGCATAATTACATAAACAGGACACAATATTCAGGGGCATTTTCATTTAAACATGTTTACCACAGAAGAAACCTCATCTTACACAAAAAGAGTATTTAAAATTTTAAGTATAGAAATTGCAGATTTCCATGGTTGCACTCAGCAAGGAATAGCAGTACTATCAGTATTGTCGTTTAAACTGAACAAGAACGCTAGAATTATTCATTTTATCATGTCTATAAATCATTTAATTCCATCGTTTTCTTGTTACTAAAATGCAGGAGTTCACCCCACCTCATCTAAATCTAGTCTACTTGTAATAAAGCACATAACTTTAGTATTTCATCCAAATGGGTATTTCAATAACGAGCTCAGGAATCTAACCACTATCGAATCCAGCGTCAAAAGAGCTTAGGTCAAGATTAATATTTATCAAAATTCACGCAAATATTAAAAAATTTCCCCTTTTTGCTGCCAATACCCTAAACTTCTCCGGTGATTGTCACCTTTATATAACTACAAATTCGAGGTGAAGCTTCTTAACTCCTCGAGACAAACACCATCAACATTCAAATTCACAGGAATCAGGAAAATACAGTGCTTTGTGTGAATTTTGGGAAAACAGAAAACTTTAAATAGAAAATGGAAATTAAATTGGGAAAAAAAGGGATACCTTGGATGGGTCGACTTTGGGGTAGCTCTTGATGACATCGAGAACCCGATCCACCACCTCCTGTTTGTCGAGGTGATCGTCTCCGTGCGATGACATTGATCGAAAGGCGAGCAAACTGGATCCTTTTAGGTTCAGAGGCCCCGATGCCGGGACCCGAATGTGGCGGAGAATGCTGGATCTCAACGCCGACGCCATTTTGCCCGAGAAAAGAATGGAACCTTTGATCTCTTTTACCTCTCTGTGTGGAGTAGAATCAGCTACTGTTGGATGGGGGAATTAGATCGTGGTTGGAGGGTGTTTTCGGTGTTTCCAGTTCTGAGCTTAAAGGATTGCCTTTTCGATATATAATTTTCCAACTAATAAGTATTTACAAGATTTTATTTTTTTGTAGGTTATAGTTATAGTAGTATAATTTGATTCAAATACCAACTTGTTTCCATGAAAAACATTTCAAAAATTCAAAACTAAGAATAAAGGAAAAAACATCATATTGAAAATATTAACCAACTTTTAAAGAACCAACATTTTTAGTATTTTACACAACATGGTGAGACTATATAATGCAATAGTATGTAGTGGTACAATTTTGTATTATGCCATCACATTGTGCAATTATATGGTATGATGAATCATAATATGGAAGTGTTCCAGAACATGGTTAAAAAAATATATAATTTTTTGTACCAAAAAATATATATAGTTTTTATTTTGGGTGAAAAAGAGGTAGAAAATTACACAAAATCGACAGACCTCGGCCGGCGGCAAAACCGCATAAGCTTCCGCCAGCCATGCCACTGCGTGTTGCATATATATATTTTTGTTCATTAAATATAATCTGTTTCCTTCGTCGTCCTCCCTCGAACGCGCAGAAACACGCAGTGGCACTGTTGATTTACAGCAGCTCTCTTTGAAGTTTACACACAGACGCGCAAAAGCCGATAAAAATTACACTTCACGTTTCTTTTTTGGCCCATCTTTTTTGCCGGCGAGATCTTGAGGCCTCCGTCGGAAAGAATAAAGAGGCAACATTCCTGATTCCGAAAGGCAGCCCTCTGATCCCCTCACGATTCTGATCGATGGCTCCGGTTTCGGCTCTCGCCAAGTACAAATTAGTCTTCTTGGGGGATCAATCCGTTGGTAAAACGAGTATTATTACTCGCTTTATGTACGACAAATTCGATAACACTTACCAGGTCTCGGTTCAATTGACGTTTTAAATTTCCTCATTGTTGTCGTTGTTTGGTAAAAAAGTTGTGCTTTGAATAGTGATCTGAACACTCTATATCACGGATAAACTAGTTAAGTTTTACCTTTTAGTAATGATCTAACCCGTTTTCAATTGTCAGACACTGCAAGTTTGCACCTTTTTCCTTCCTTTAATTCACAAGTGATCTGATATTAATTAAGGTCCTGATTTGTGAGTAAGGATTTTATGATTTGCTGAGTTACTGGCTCATTTCTTCTGTTGTTCTAGTAATCAATGTGCACATTAGGCCTCGAAGATTGAACTGTACCCCTACATTTTCCCTTCTTGGCCATGATCAGAGTCTATCACGATGTCATCACTATACTTTCTGCTTAACTTATAATGATGAATATCTGATAGTTGGAGTGGGAGTAGTGCTGAAGGAAAATTTCAAATCGGCATTCTTTACATTGTAATGATGTTGCCTGTGTATAACTCTAGTGTTATGCTCTGGAATTTCTTGTTAAACAAGAACTGTGATCTTTTAAATTTTGTATCTGAGCATTTGTAAATCCTCAATTTAGCTTGATACTTGTTTTTGTTTCAGAATCAGTTTATGCTTGATACTTGTTTTTGTATTTAAACTGACATGAAATATACCCCTGTAAGTTTGTGACTCCGTATTTGCACTTTGGCTCACCTTACTCACAGTCTACTGCTATGCAGTCTCGCTGCTAATTTCACTTGTGGATTACAAAATTTTTTATTTATCATGAAAAAGTTTAATTACTGATCGACTTGCATACCTCTAAATATTTTGTGCTTTCTGTGTATAGCCAAAGAAAATTTCAGTATGTAAATATCTAAAGTTCTCATTGTTTTTTTATTTTCTTATTATTTTCCAATAATTTGTGTTCAGGCAACTATTGGTATTGATTTCCTCTCCAAGACAATGTATCTTGAAGATCGAACTGTACGTTTGCAGTTATGGCAATATATGATTCCCAAAGCAGTTATTCATGCATGCATCGTTCGTATTTATATCTGCACATTATACAGTTTGAATGAGTACAATGAGAATATACGGTGGACATCTTGATCTCATCTGCCTTGTGCAGCTGGAATCTTGTCAGATGAATGAATCTATATGATGTTCTTCTTTTACTTCAAACGAAATGTCTAGTGCTTCTCTTTTGCTGTTCTCCTGTTACTGACTCAATTATGTTACACGAATTTCAGTTGCAAAGAATTTTCTTATCTTGCACGTTCAGGGATACTGCTGGACAAGAAAGATTTAGGAGTCTCATCCCCAGCTATATTAGGAACTCCTCTGTTGCAGTCATAGTGTTTGATGTTGCAAGTAAGAGTTTTATCTTTTCATTGTGCAATCTAAAGTATTTTGTTCTCGATAGGATGTCTGCTTTGCCCCAGATCTGCTTTTAGTTTATATTGAAAAGCATTTTTGCCTTTCTGTGTTTCATGCCAACTAAAATAACATTGTGTTTTGTTATATTGATTATATTTCATTGGCAATTAGGCAGATAGTCCTTTCTTAACACTTCAAAGTGGATCGAGGAGGTTCGCACTGAGAGAGGAAGTGATGTTATTATTGTCCTTGTTGGCAACAAAACTGATCTTGTGGATAAAAAGGTAAAAGGTTTCTTTTTTTTATATCTCTAGTTATGTATCCTACTTTTCTGTAGTTTTTCCTTATAAACGTTAGAAATTAATGGAAAACTTTTTCCCCACTTGTTCAGTTACATATTTACGATTTCAATTTTACACATAATAGTTATGTGGAAGATAGTGGTGGATAAATTATTAATTAGATGTTAAGTTTGGACATTTTGGTTTGGGGTTTCCTGAAAATTTAAATTTTGGTTCTATTTTGATCTATTTGAAAAAGTTTTGATAATTTAATTCAGAGCTACTCGCTGGAAATTTTAGAAAGCAGAGAAAGTGAGCATTTTATGACTGAGAAAACTGATTATTCATGAGTGTTATCAAATCACGCGCCATGGTGGGATTTTGGCCATTTGCTGCCATCCGCCATTGATAACACTGTTCATGACTGTGTTTAACATTTCTTGCATCTGGAGAAGATAATCTCCACTTTGACAGTTAATAAGTAACTTTATACCTCTATGCTAGAGTTTTTTCAACCTTTTTATTTCCACTTTTCATTTAGAATAGTAGAGGTTGTGACGTTTTGCATGATGCAGACGGAAGTTGATTCAGTTATTCTCATTCTATTCAATACATAATATTCTGATGATGCTTTGTTGACCCAACGAATGGTGGGTAATTGCAGGCAAGTATCTGTAGAGGATGGAGAGGCTAAAGCTGGTGAACTTAATTTCATGTTTATTGAAACTAGCGCGAAAGCTGGCTTCAACAGAAAGGTAGCCCTGAAATTCGCCCTCCCTTATAATACTTGATTCATTGATACAATTGTCCATTTTTTCCCAACTTTTTATTATATATATATGATATGATGGGGTCCTGGGGATACCACACCACATCTGCTGCACCAACTCTCTTCATTAAACCTGTTTGCCTACTTTGATAAAATTTGGTGTGATAATATACTAATTGCGCCCGGTGATGAGGTCATTTGCCAAAAACAAATGGATATTCCTTTTTTCATTTGATGACACGTGTAATTGTACCAAAGAGAAGACAGCTCTTCTGCAACTGAATATTACATGAAAATTAATCATTAACTCTGTTCAGGCATTATTTCGGAAGATTGCGGCAGCATTGCCAGGAATGGAAACAATATCATCGACAAAACAAGAAGATATGGTTGATGTGAACCTCAAGTCCACCAACGCCAACTTATCTCAGTCTCAACAGCAGTCGGGTGGATGGCGCTGCTGATCAATTTAAGGTGTTGATTGTCATGTGTTTTTTTGTCTGGACCAATGCATTGGTGCATGCATCTGTGTGAAGATCTTGCCACCAGCGACAAGGAATTTTGGGATTGATTTTTTGCGAGTATTTCAAATTTGCATTGTTAGCCTTTGTCATTGTTGTTCCTTGTATTTGTATTATGTTGTGTCCCATATGCTTATATATATGTTCATTTGGTGAACGGTTTCTATTTTTGGTTATTTGGTGTATTTATTTTCATGACCTTCTTGTGCAATGTGGATGTGTTGAAGCTATTAATAAGCCTTTTAANAGGAAACCCTGCCCACAGGCTCAAACTTTGCTCTCCATTCTCCAGAACTACCAGCAAATCACTCCTCAGACCACACAAGCTGCTATTTGCCATGTCCTGTTGGGCATCAAAGCCCAAAACTCCACTAATTACCTACGACTCCCCTTAGGCATTGGCAAGTCCAAAGTAGCTACATTTTCATACATAGAAGAATCTTCCCCTTAGGCATTTTGGCAAGTCCAAAGTAGCTACATTTTTATACACAAGTCCAAAGTAGCTACATTTTCATACATAGAAGAATCGTCCCCTTAGGCATTTTGGCAAGTCCAAAGTAGCTACATTTTTATACATAGAAGAATTTGTTAAGAAAAGAACTTCAAACTGGAAAAACAAATCTCTCTCAAATGCAGGTAAATAGATACTCATGAAGGCAGTTTTGGGAACCCTGCCCACTTACTCCATGGCATGTTTTATGCTGCCCCAAAAAACAATCAAGAAGCTTTCATCTATATTTGCAGATTTTTGGTGGAACAAAAGTGATGGCATATCTAAAGGGATACACTGGAAATCCTGGCCTCTAATAACCATGCCAAAAACTATGGGAGGTCTTGGCTTCCAGGATATGCACTACTTCAACAAGGCCCTAATCTCTAAGCAAATTCGGTTTTTCATGAGTGCACTAAACACATTGAGGTGGATTGCCACTTTGTTCAAGATGTTGTTCTTCAGGGTTTCATTTTTACTACTCATGTTCCTTCTGGGAAACAACTCGCTCACATCTTCATCAAGGCGCTTGGAAAGCGTGAATTTGATTTCTTTCTTGGCAAGTTGGGCATTCGAAACCCGCATGCTCCAACTTGAGGGGGGGTGTTATTGTATATATATTTATGTAGCATATCTTGTGTATTATTTTGAGGCGATATATTAGGGATAGTTAGTATCTTGTGATTAGTTAGTTTCCTTATACATCATGTAATATTGGTTATATATTTTGGT